AGTGCTCTGCCGGAGATTCGAAGCGAACACTGCTCCACTGTCTTGTCTTTCCGAAAGTGTAAATCTCTTCGTTACATTTTCATACCGGAAGATAGTGTGAATGAATTACTGAAATGTAATCAGAGTCATTTAAACATTCCCCGAGAAAGTATTCAGTAAGTTTCATGAGCCCATTTCAATGTTCCCTATTTTTGCAGTTGGACGTTAATTTTCAGAGAGCACCGTCCTGTGATGGACAGATTTTCAATGTGCCTATCAGATATGAATACAGCGCATCCATCCTTTCAGACACTAATGAAGGACGCGTCGATACGGAGAGAAAACTTGCAAAAAAAGCGTGTTTCCAGTCAGAAACACAGAAGAGTATGTAAATCCTTCACAGTCCTTTTGTGAGGGCGTCTTGAGGGATCGAAGTCAGTCACAGTACGGGCAGAAAAATTTCGTTCTTACTTTTGTTGGAACCGAATCACAGGGTCAGCCAGTATATCGCTCATGTCAACCTCACGTCCCCGCCTCAGGACCTGGGGGTGCTTCTTCTGCATGAGCCAGCCCACGTGAGAGAAGAACAACCCTCGGCTGGCGTTGTGTGGGTCCGCGTCCGTGTCGCTGAACTTATGGTGCACCCGGTGATCTCTCACCCATTCGAAGAGCGGGTTCTGTAAAGTGTGCAGTGTGGATCATTAGGGACGTAACGATAGCAGTACATCATTGCATGTTATGAGGCGTGGCTTAGTACGATTAGTTGGCCGTTTCCTTGCAAGAGACGCATACATAGGTGCCAGCGATTCAACCAGCTGCTTAGGAATATTTTCCTTTTGGTACTTAATGGAGGGTGAGGCTATGTTCACTTCGTATGTCGGCCACTATTTGGCCTTTTGTACCAGCCCCTTGATGAACATGTGTGTCTGCCGCGCTAACCTAACCTTCATAATGCCTCTCTTTAAAGGAAGATAAGTGCAGCGCCGTGGTTCCGCTGTCTGACGAATAGGACTCTTGGTGTGTCCACTTGTTCGGGCCGCGCTTACCTAACTTTCATACTGCCTCTCTTTAACGGAAGATGAGTCTCTGCCGCGCCGTGGTTCCGCTGTTTGACGAATAGGACTCTTG